ATGAATTTTACAATACAGTTTACGTTATAACTGGTTTCATAGGTCATGTTCAAACCAACTCAAGTGCAATACGTTAGTTCCAACAGCCCTCAAGCAGACAACAGTGGAAAATGTCGGAAAACAAAGCCTCTCGGACGCCTTTCTTTTCCTCTATATGTGCAGACTGTGACACAGACTTTTCCAGTACCGGTGAAACAGCCCATCTCTGAAGCGGTCCTACAAAAAACAGAAGCAAACTCGGACACACGGCTGCTTTTAATTCAGTCAGAAATACTCCTTTTAGAGGCTTGGAACAGAAAACCTTATAACGTAATGTGACCTAGTTAAGATTTGTCTGAATTTTTAAGACTATCTTCCTTGCATTACGTCAATTATATAGCCAAATAAACAATCTTTAGGGCAACAAGCCGTATATTAAAAAAAACCTCTGTGATGTGTTTGTTTCATTAGGGCACTTCCTTGATGCTCCTGTTGAAAGTTTTATTGACCGCACTTGTTGAGAAACAAAAGAACACTGTGGGTGAAATAATGACCCCCCCCCCCCCCGACCTCCAAAAAAAGGGCTGATCGTCAAAAACAGATGTTACTGGAAAAGTGAATATTCAAACTCCGTGTACAAGTGCAACAGTAGTCTGAGGAAATTCGATGCAAATAAACCAGCCTTGTTATCAGGACCATCTACACTGGAGGATATCCACAGCGGGGCTTTGCTGTAACAAACTGTTTTCCAGATGTCAGTCCCAGCCAGCCGGAGTCATCTGGTTTAACCTCTGACACAGAAGCAGCCGTTCAATTAGTGGATTTTACACTCTGGTCATGGTGACACCACAGTCCTGGCTTTGGTTTCAAGCACACACTGATAGTGACCAGGTCTGATTTCCATCAGCAATGAAATTTACGCTCATAGACGCATAAAAGTAAAGTGTTTATTTAGGATCCAAATGCATGGAGAAGATGTAGATCAAATCCTCCAGTGAAAATAGTCCTCATACCAGGAAACATACTGACCCCATCCCATAAACTCCAGCCAGCATCCTGGATTAATGACAAAAACACTGCCATCAAAGCTTAAGAAAAGCACGAAAGGCAGATGATGTGGTCTGCAAGAATGGCATAGCGGTTAAACTTTTGTTTAGTTTTTGTATCATCCATTAAAAGTATCATCTGCACCGGGCAAAAAGGAGGCTGGTAATATTTTATTTCCATGCTTTGAAAGTTTACCATTCTGTTTAGGAAAGGAGTTTCCAAAGCATCTGTGCTGCCATGCTGCCAAGAGACAGAAATGCATGTATTTTTTGCTTTTCTTGTGGCCTGAATGGAGGGTCGTAATAAATGAAGCCCAGGCCTTTTTTTTTTTTTTTTTTTTTTAAATGGGCCAAACATGGAGCCCTGAGGGACCACGTGCACTGGCACATAAGCTCAAACCACCAGCAATCCCTGACAGTGGACTCCAGCAAACCGCCATCTTTAATGCTAGTCACTCACTCAGTAATGACCTAAGCATCATTAAACATCTGAAGCTCAGTTGCGTGCCTTTAAAATGAAAAGAGAAGTTACAAAGAAATGGCTCAAGCTAATTACAGAATATAGACTCATGACCGAGACCACACAGTGGCTGCACTGCTGCGACTTTGCAGCTGATAATAAAGTCCAATTCATGATCAAAAACTACAAAAGCTATAGTGTTAATCTAGAAGCAGAGGGAGCAAATTCCACGTGGAAAAAGACGGTTCATATGGCTCTGATCTTTCCTACCACAATGAATCAGTGACTGAGGTTTGGAACAAAAACACTACATCCCTCATGAACCCTGTGTCTATTAAAACACTGCAATAAAGAGCATCACACGTGGAAAAAAATTACTGCTCGTTGGGAAAACGCAAAGTAGGGCTTTCCTTATGCAAAACACACAACAATGTTCCTGACTTCAGTTACACTGTGGTCCAAAGACTTCATATATTTAAAAAAAAAAAAGCCTTTGCAATGGAAGCAAATAAGAGACTAAGTATTAAATTTTAACAGTCACTGAATACTTAAAGGAGCTGTATGCAACATTCAGAGCATTAATATAGCAGTAAACAACTATTTGCTATGTAAAGATATAGTGGAGTAATGGCGTCCTGAGCATCCCTCTGTGTGTTGTAATCTGAGCTTCTCTGTGGGTTGTTGTGGTAGTCGTGCCGGCCGCAAACGCACGCTAGTTCATTTGAGGACTTGTCCACACATACAGGAGTGTATCTGAAAACATTGCTTTCTCAATGTGTTTTGGCCTTTTGTCCGCATGAACACTGCGTTTTAGGTCACTGACAACGGACCTTTAGTAAAGATCCGTCCAGGGTGAAGATTCTCGGGAGCTCCGTGTTGACGTGTAGACAGGGAAAACAGAGCTTCTGGCTTGAGACATCAGAGTATACGTTGTTATCTCCTCTGTGAGGCATCACAAATGTGGCCACATTTCGTGTAATGGCGGAGGTGGCCAAAATAGTTCTGGCTCTAATCTTGCTAACAATTTTACATGCTTACACATGAACGTACAATTACTCTTGCACTATTTGGAGGAACAGTGGTGTCAGAATGCACCACAGAGGTCACTGCTTCAGGTAGCTTTCTGGTCACAGCTTTTTTTCAGGCTTCTCATTGGCCAATATCTTCTTCTTTTTCTTTGCGTGGCTTTAGGGCTACTGTTATATCCACGCCTGTTGGTTTAGCGTGCTCTTAGTAGTCCCTCAATTGTGTTTCTGCCTTTTGATTTGGACATAGATTTATTATAACAATATTTATAGACAGAATTTTTTTGAAGAATGAAGGAGGGAAAAACTCTGTATTCAAAATTATCCAGGTCCATCTGGACTAGGCCTGAGTCCCTGTGAGAGAGTACACATTGCTAGCTCATCACCGTCACCCTGCACTGCCCTCATACAGTGGGTACGGCTGGTATTGGAAGAGCATCATCGCAGAGTAGTAGTGCTCACCTTCTGATTTCTCCCAAGGTCAGGTTCTGACAGCACTGTTGCTGTTGTTAGTGCTGTTTACTAAGTTAGCACCAGTAGGTCCTCGTTGACAGCTCAGCCACCTCCATGTTGAGATCTGTGTGCAGACAATCTCACCCCAGACTCTGAATCATATGCTCCTAATACACACATACAGCTTCTTTAATATTGATATTCAATGCCACTGAATTCATGGCATTGAAATATTTTACTTGAAAAAGACTTGTATCCAAATGTATGTGTTCTGAATGTACCTCTTAGTAAATAACATTTGAAATGTTTTGATTTGCAACTTCAAAAGCTAAATTAGAATTTATAAAAAAATTTGTGGTAGCTCAATTTGATTGGTCAAATCAGATCCAAAAATTCAAGCTGGAATTTATCAGTTAGCAACATCCAGGCTACCCAGGACAAGAAAGGCAATCAAGAATGGGTATGTGTAATCAATTGCACCTAAACAGCACAAACTGGACAATGCACCTGAGCCTTTTCTTTTCCCAGGTAGGCCTCTCTGGGTTTCAATTTTCAAGCTTCTTTCTTTGATCACATGACTAACAGACCATGCCCTAAAAAGTTAGAGTCAAGTTGGTTCTATTGTATGCAGGCTCAATTTCCTACACCCTTGCTGGGTAGCTCAGATGTTGCTATTTAAAATTTTTGAACCTACATTTTTGGATCTGACTTTAATCAATTAAATTTGAGACATAATTCTGAAACAACACTGAAAATACCCATCAATTTTTAAAATTACAAATCAAAAAAATTCTGTCTCTTATTTGCTTCCATACTTCACCCTCAGGAGCTCTTTGTCTTTCACACACAAACACTGGTTTACAGGTGGGACCTGTTCTCAGGTTTACTGTTGAAACACAACACTGCAAAACAAGACAAGAATCTGTGTCGCACTTTGTGAAGACCACTGACAGAGTTTCTCTTGAAGTCACAATAGCAGGGCAACCTTAGACCTTCAATATGTACATAACAGTGCCAGGATCAGGTGTTTGGGGTTAATGAGGCTTTTGATGGGGCGTTCATGGAAAATTAAACTTAGCTGATTAATTGATTAACTTGAGTCAACAATACAAAATCCAACTCCTCAGTTGTGAGAATGTGTTGCTTTTCTTGGTCTTAATTGAGTTAAAGAAATATATTTGCATTTTTGACTGAGAGACAAAACAAGATTTCTGAAAACATTATTTTGAGCTTTGCAGACCTTATAAAGGACTATGAAAAAAAATATGTATAATAAACATGAGCTTTCATGGTTCATGTCATTTCAACTTTAATAAAACATCTTACTGGATGGCAATGCACATTGTATAACAAAAAAGATGAGTGAAAGACAGGAAATTAGTTTTACTTGAGTTTTGGGTTTGTTTGTTTTTTGCATAAAACATTTGCAGCTAATGAGCATTTCCACCAAAGCTGCAACCTTTAACTGATTCAGTGGTTTGAAAGTAGCCTAATTAGCACAGTTTTTGATGATTAATTTCTCTTTTCAGGTAAAAAATTCAAACATAGTCTTGTTTAAGCTTCTCAGACGTCTTTATTTGTCTTAATTGATTCAATTAAAAATACTTAAAAAGTGACTATTTGGGATTTTTGATGTCTGTACATGAGTGAGTCCAACCGGTCTCAGTAATTTGGCCACACCATGTGCACTGTCAAGTTATTAAAGGTGTAAGAGACACGCATATGAATCAAACCTGTGATAATGGACCAAGTAAACGGCAGAAAGTCTCAATGATGAGTGTTAGCCTACATGTGGATCATATATTAGGGGTCACAGTGCGCTGCTGCATTGCCTGGAAAAGCATCAGTCTGCTCGGCTTTCCCTGCCACGACTTTCCCCTGTACAGCAGCTCGGGGAGGAAACACACCACAACTAGAAACACTGGTTAAAGTCACATTTGTGGCTGAGATTCTTCAACGAAGACTTGTTTCATAGACGATCAATCTCCCCGTTGCTGTCTTAGAAAAGTAGTTTCAGAAAGCGAGTTTTCTACTTACGTGGAACTGCTGGCGGTGCGATTTTTCCAAGCGACGACTGTGAAATCCTACGAGTTTAAGAAGCTTTGTGTGTCTTCTTGTGCAGTTAAAGTTGTCGGGTTTGATCCTGACTTGATTTTTTCTTCCTCAGGGTCTCTTCTTCATCCTCCACGTTTTCTCCGGCAACCACAGAAGAATGAATGGTTCCGTCCTCCTCTTCTGGCCCAGACAGACTACCGTTAGGATGGGAGTGACTGACCCTTTTAGCTCCCTCCCCCCATCCACCAATCACTGCTGCTCATACTGGACTCAGGAGACTACTTTATGTATTTAATGTCACTGCAAGTGATCAAATAATATGTGAATGACTATAGTGCTGTGTTGTTGGGGTCTGTAAAATGTGTTTGTTTTCGTTTTCAGATGAAATAAATAAATTAAAAGCTGCATGAAACCAGTATTTCGCAAATGAAAGTGGGAGATGCCTGAACGGTTCCCATGAAACATCATGAAAGTGGTGGAAAGTAACTACGCACATTCACTCAAGTACAGTTTTGAGGTACTTATTCTCCACTTAAGAATTTCCATTTTATGGTACTTTATACTTCTACTCCATTACATTTCAGAGGTAAATATGAGCCTACTTTTGACTCCGCTAGCCTATGTTTATTTCACAATACTTTAGTTTATAATTAAGAAATATTATCAACAAATAAAATATAACATAGTAGTGGTTATAGATTGAACTACTTGGCAGTAGCCTATATAGAGTAGTGTAATTATGACTACCCCCGCCTTTACCTAGTGTTGGTCCCAGAAATTTTTTATAGGACTGGCCAGATGGGGCCACTGAAAATCTTGGGATGGCACACCAAAACCACAGGCCATGACTGAATCTGAGGAATTCTATTATGCTGTTGAAGTATATAAACTACCCTAAAACGTCAATTCAAAGCCTAGTCCCAATTAAACACCCAGTCCCCTTGACGAGCCCAGTGTGGCTACACATTCTGACACACAAACTGTTGTTTCAGTTAGACGCCTGGTCTGGTTGATTCATTTTTTTTTTACAGAAGTTCTTTGGATGTATAAAACCGGGGTTGTTGGCTACCTCAAATTATGTGTCTATTCCTCAATTACCCTGTAGGTTATTCATATTCCTTTAGTCTGTGTGGGTCCTCAGATCAAAATAATCAAAAGGGTTTTTTTTAATAAAAATTAATTCAAATTGTGAGTACTGTTTTGACAGGATAAAATGGTCTTGTGTCGATATGCCGGGTGCCATAATCCTCGAGTGCCGTAAATCTCTCTCTCTGTGATCTCTCTCTTTCTGTCAGAGCGAGATCAAATGAGCAATTCATAACTGATATATTATCTGAAGCCTAGTTTTTAAACAAGTCATATTCATACTGGTTTAGGTAAACAATTTGATTGTATTTCCTGATGTTGGTAGAGCAACAGTTTTGTATGAAAGGAATTAAAGGCCTGTCCCATATAGAGGCCTGTCCCAAATAAAGGCGTGTTGATTTCAGTGTGTTAAGTAAACAATAGCCAGGGCTATTAATTGAAGTTTTATGGTAGTTGACTGTGTCATATGGAGAGTTAAGGAATTGCATTGCCTCCTGATATACATTGGTTTAATACTAGTTACTAATTGTCTGATGTGCATAGATAGTGCATAAGCTTTTTAAAATTTAGGGGAGACTGATTGCTACCTACAGAACCCATTTTCATTCAGATATTTTGAGATAAGAGTTCAAGGGACCCCTTTGAAACTGGCCACACCACCTGCCTCGCCTAACTTTGGAGCATTATTTAGCCCCCTTCCCAAGAAGCTATGCACCATGGTTGGTACCAGTGGATGTTTTAGGGCACTGACACACAAAGCCAATGGTCAGCCATTTGTCAGTGTTGGGCTGTCGGGGAACATCTGTCGCACTGCCTTTCGTGGTGTGTCACACACTGTTGGCCTTTGTCAGCCCTTGTTGGCTCACATCATCTTCTCAAAGAGCTAAAGACAAGAGGGAGTGAGATCAAAACAAACTTGTTATATTTGGTACATTTTTTTTTAGCTTTTGAGCTCTAGCAAAAATTGTCTGTAATGGTTTGTGTTATTGTTTGCTAGCACACAGTAAATATGCTTTGTTCTGTCAACATCACAGTGTTGTCAATGTGCTAACTGGCTAAGTAGCTTCTTGAATCCATCCTGTCGACCTTCCGGTTCCCTTTTTTTAATGGCGAATACAGACTACTGACACCCACTTGTATGGAGAGTTATTTCCTCTTACACAGGCGCAAAACGTACATGCCAGGTGCAACTTTTTAGCTGAGACGCGGGCAATGTCACCACTAGTTCTATAATGTCGGTCTGGGCCTTAAGGCTGTCTTGTTTCCATGATCTTCACCCTCGTGAAGTGCACAAACGCCTCTCAAAGACTGTGATGTAGGCCTCAGATTGTTTTTGCCAGGGAAAGCCAGTGCGGGATCAGCAATTCTATCAGGGTGGAAGTGTACTTTTTTCACTACTGCCCAAATAAATATTGGGGTTTTGTATACCGCTAATTTTATCTATCTTACCTTGGCTTAAAAGAACAATATTACTGTCTAAACATTATAGATGTCCTCTAAAAGACATCATCTAGGTATTTAGGAGATATGATGAGCATTCCTCCCCTTTTTCCTGACATTTTATGTACAAAACAATAAATGAATAAAGTAATCAGCAGATTAATCAATAATGAAAATAATCGTTGCCAGTTGGCAAACTGTAATGTGCAAACTACATTACTGATTCATACATTTCTCCCACTACACAGACAGTCAAAATCAAATTTCTTTCTTTGAATGTATTAAATAATTCAACCATTATCACTTAGCATTTCGTCATCATTGTAAAGCAGTTGTTGTCCTGGCATCTCTGATTACCTCTCACTCTGTAAAGACAAGCTATTCACACAGTATTACATGAACATTTGGGTCGTCTACATGTCACAGTCTCTCTAAATCTGAGTCTTAACCTTTACTGAGAGGCTAACAGCTGAACTAAAGACTCACAGCTCACACCAGTCAATGCAGATTGCTCACATTCTGAAGGCTATACATGTATTCATATGTGCTGCACAGCAGAAAGCCATACTTAGCATTATCTCCAGACATGTGTCTATACGTGCACCCGCAATTCCCAGTCCAAAGTCTTTTATTCTCACCAAATTCAGTGTGAAGAGGTGCAGCTTGGCCATTTGAAGAACAGGAACAGTGCAAAACAACAACTTTTGTATATTCATGCATGCTTTGCACGACAATGAACGAGTGTGAATGGACTATTTTGAGACTGTTGTGACTAGAAGGAGAACAACTGGTGCCAGGACCTCAGTGCCCTCTTATTTGTGCTCCTCGGTCAGTCAAATGTGACTTGAATGGAGTGTAAACACAAGGGAAGTCTCATGACTTGGTCTGGGAGTTTCTGGCCAAACAACTCTGCAGTAATTGTCAATAATACCAGCCCTGATGTTATCCATCCAGTTCCTGGGATCATTGTTAACCCTGACTGACCTTCGGTTTGACAGTCAGAATGAAAATACTATTGTCTGCAACAGAAATACTCCTATTATACATAATATAATACATATAACACAATCCTCCAATACATGCAGTTTGAACTACAAGGTTAGCTTCCTAATCAAGGATGTGAGTGGACCTTATATTCTCACTTGTTTAACTGATTAGGAAAACTGGGAAAATTTGGCTTTGTTTAAGATTACAGCCAACAAATTACTTTTCTAATCATTTAACACATAAGGTATCAACATAGTAACACAACAAATATGTACTCTAAGTAGAGGTATTCAACTTGTTTTCTGACTTTTTTTTTTTTTAAGTACAAAGCATTTATTCTTTCAGCCTTTTAGTTAATTCATTTCAACATCCACCTTTGACAGTATTACAGTTTAGTTTCCAACTTTTCTATACATACAATGTATTTTGGCTCTTAGATTCTTAAGTTAATGCAGTTCAGCTTCCAGTCCTGACAGTTTCAGAATCAGTTTCCAGGTTGTTTTTTTTCAGCAGATTCCTGTAGCTTTAGCAAGGCTTTGCAATTTCAGCTGTCAGTAGGCTATTCAGATGCATTTTCTGCAGGAAATGCATGTTCAAGTTTATCTTAAAGTCACAGCATACTAAAAATACACAATGAGAAATTATATTGTAAAAAGACTTTAAATTGTGAGAATTTATTATCACTATTATAGTGTACATTATAGGCTTACGTGACAACTAAGTCTAGGGAGAAGGATGTACCTGTATAGCTATAAAGCAGTTATGTGCATGATTTCAAATTATGATAAAATACCAAAGAACAGTAATGTAGATTTAGGGTACCATCTATTATGTCCTTTTATATCATGAGATCATCAACAATTATGTAGCTGAATACACTGTGCAACATACAACAGAAAAGTGTGGTGAGCTACTCCTTGTGTCAGGTGTAAATATTTCAATTGCAATGAAATTTCCTCTGGAGAAATGTCCATGTTCCCCAGAGGATGAATCCTACTGACTTTGATGATCCACTGACTTTTTCTCAAGCACCACCATGAGTTTGAAATTTGCGATCTGTCGAATAGATTGCAATGAATCGCCATGAAGTGCAATCACCTCAAACTTTTACTTTGTCCAGTACTATGCTTTATGAGCATATACTGTACCTGCAAAGCTAATGAGATCCCATCAGCATCAGCCGTTGATTAGTGCTTACTAGCAAATATTTGCATGCAAGCACACTAAGCAAAGGTGTGTTGGCATTTAGCTCAAATTGATCCTATTGGTCCATCGTTTGTACCCTGTAATTATAACCTCCGCCAAGGAGGTTAGGTTTAGGTTTAAGGTTAGGTCAGTTTGTTAGTCTGTCTGTTGTGAGCAGGCTTATGGAAAAAATACAGGCCCGATTTTCCTGAAACTTGGTGAAAAGGTGGAACATGGGTCAAGATAGAACCCATTAAATTCTGGAGCGGATCTACAAAATACTTGTCACTGCAAGATGTTTGCGAGGGCATTTAGCATTAGCTGAGAAAAACAATACATTTACAGAGTAACTTACTTTTTACGCACACATTCCCTGTACTTCTTCACTGACCTATCAACAAAGTATTTCATTGGTATTCCATAGTATGTACACAATATTTACTCTGTGATTTGCTGGATTTAATCTAAAGTGTTTCTGAAGATTTTTTCAGT